TATATATATATATATATATATAAGATAAGGGGGAAAAGAAATAGATGGTTGTAACCATAACACAATCACTGCAACAAAACAATAGATTTTAAAATCAAAACTGTAATCAAAATTTCACTCCACTTACTTTATGCACCTTCTTGGTCTTACTGTAATGATTCACTGGTACAATTTTCCCAAAAATATTATATTATATATATATATATATACAAAAAACTTGGTCCACCATATGACTGTTCTTTTCAGCTGATGTTACTCCCTTCCCTTCAACCACCTGGCTCCATTCTGCTATTTCATGGAAACCAGTCAATTTCTGATTCATAATTTTAAGCACTGGCTAGGCTTGCCGCGATGGACGGTGTTGACGGTGATACCGGTGTTAAGCTGCAGCACCGGTTACGTCACTTGCCCACCGCGTCACCGACCCCCACCGTCGTTTTGATTTTTTATAGAAATAAAAATCATTTAGTTCAGTAAAAGAACAGACACTACAATTAAAAACTGAATGCGGCTGCTCAATGCAGCGTGCCGAACGACAGTCGCATCACAGATCAGATTTCATTTTGTTATTTTATATTAGGCATAGCCTGCCCTATAGCATAGGCTATTTGTATTTGTTTTGTTAATAAAAGTTCTATGTTTTATATATATATGCTAAAGTGAGTTTGACGTTGTATTTTGTTGTTGCATTCAAGCAATTGACGCCTAACTTCCGCTAATTCAAAAGTGAAAGTAAAATGCGCACGCCGGGAGTATTTAAAAGCGAAGGAAAGCGAGGAAAAGAGGAAAAATTCAAACGAACTAAAAACGAACAATTGCTTTACGCCGAATTGCCGCTATTTCAAAGTGAAAGTAAAATGCGCACGCCGCTTTTACAAGCTATTTAAAAGCGAAGGAAAAGAGGGAACGCCCCGCCCCCACGGTGATACCGGTAATACCTGTGTTGTCACACGTCGATTAACCGGTGGGAAAATTTCCTCACCGTCACAACCCTAGCACTGGCATTCATTTTTTAATCACTAAACATCCTGTCTCACTCAGATTACGTTAGTAAAATAGGATGACGCATGTTTAATGTATGATTTTAAAACAAGCGCTAGACTGAAAAGTTTTGGAAAATAAATAAAGTCTGACCGTTCTGTTGCAGCATATGACTCTGCAGGCTGTCGGTCTCTTCCATAGCATCACTCATCAGATCCTGAAGAATCTGCTGCTCCGCTTCAGGAAGCAAAGGTGCCTGAGCTGGTGGGCGACTCACTGCTTCAGTCTGGCAAATATTAAACATCTTCATTATGACACACCCAAAAACAATAGCTCGAATGTGCTAATAGCAACACAAGTATTAAAACATCTGTCAAGATTGTCTAAAAATAATAATTAATTGATAGTTTGACTTTAAATATTAAGCATAACTGTATCTCTCATTATCGACAAGAAACTCACAGAAAAATGTTTTTCAATTGAACTGACCTTCACCCTTTGCTTAGTGCTTCTGCATTTAGCCTCCAGTCCAGAAGGGGGCAGTAGATCTCCATAGCTGGCTATGTACTGAATAAGGTTCATGAGAGCGGCACAGGAGTCTGAACATGTGCGAATGTGAATAACATCACTGGAGCAACGCAGCTCAAACCTTGGCTCCGTCTAAAGAGATATAAATGGCACAAGATAAAAAATTGGGACATCCTGTGTCAGAGAGCAGACAACCTTTTTTGTTTTAATGGAGGACTTTCATACCATTTTGCCATCTGGTCCTGGTTTGACTGCTGTGATCCTCAATTCCAGAGTCCCCATATCAACCACCTGGACATAGTCTGAAGACACAAGAATAAGAAATGAAACCAGCATCCTTGGCTTACAGATTCTGAAACTGCACTGATGTGAAAGACTCCTCACCTCGTGCCAGATTAACAGACACAGCATTGATCTTGTCAGACAGAAACAATGCAGCATCATCTAAAATTATTCTGTAAGGGAAGAAAGTATGAAAAGTATGAGAAAAGCGACTAGAAAATGTTCAATTACAGAAACAAAAAATGTCTAGAACTGCTTTTACCTCAGACTGGAGGAAGAATGATCTAAAGACACACTGCTAGAGATGCTGAAGGTCTCCACAGTCAGCAGAGATCTCACAGGTAAATACAAAGGTCTAGAAAGAGAAAACTACTGCTTAGATCCAAACGGTCTTTCAAAAGAAAAGCACCATATATACATTCTGTGCATAAGAAAAGTTTTCAATGACATATTTTTAGCGCTAGATCAGGGAGACTGTGTTATTTTAGTACTATTGGATCTTAGTGCGGCTTTCGACATCATAGATCATGAAATTCTCATCTCTCGTCTTGAAAATCTGGTAGGCCTGAAAGGCATGGTTTGAAATGGTTTCGATCTTTTCTAAGTGACAGATATTTCTTAGTTAATTATGGAGATTCAATCTCTAGAAAAAGATTGCTTCCATGGGGGGTCCCACAGGGATCTATTCTTTCTCCTACACCGTTTTCCTTATATCTGCTCCCCTTAGGTAGCATTTTTAGAAAGCATGGAGTATCATTCCACTGCTTTGCCGATGATACCCAACTCTACCTGCCACTAAAACACCTAACGAAATCTCTTGACTCACTTTTAGCGTGTTTAAACAATATTAAAAATTGGATGGCAAAAAAATGTTTAATGCTAAATGAAGACAAGACTGAGGTTATTGTTTTTGGCAGGCCAAAAGATTCTGCTAAATCCCTTTTAGATTTAAGCCCATTGGCACCATATTTTAAAACATCGGTTAGAGATTTAGGTTTTCAAATTGGTAATTTAAAAATGGAAAAGCAAATAAATTCTGTGGTACGTGCTTGCTTTTATAATCTGCGTCTTTTAGCTAAAACCAAACATTTTTTGTCAAATGCCAACTTCGAAAGAGTTATTCATACATTTGTCCTATCACGTTTGGATTTTTGTAACTCGCTGTACAGGGGCATCTCTGCCGCATCCTTGGCTTGATTACAATCAGTTCAGAATGGCTTCTAAAAAGGGTAAAGAAATATGATTCTATCTCCCCGGTACTTGCAAATTTGCGCTGGCTCCCTGTTTGTTTTAGAATTAAATATAAGATTTAAATTTTTGTATATAAATCATTAAACAACCAGGCACCTTTGTACCTCACAAACCTCTTGATACCTTATAACCCCCCTAGAGCCTTGCGCTCAGAAATCTATAAACTTCTGGTAGTGCCTAAGAAAATTCGTCATCAAAAAGGCAATATGGCTTTTGCAGTAATGGGGCTGAGATTGTGGAATGAGTTGCCGCTACATATCAGATGTGCTAAATCTCTGTCAATGTTTAAGAAACTGCTGAAAGCTCACATTGGGGTGGCAGTTTATGTGAGTTAAATTATACAGAAAATTATTTGTGATTGTTAGATTGGTCAATATGTGTGTGATGGTGTTTTGATTGTTTGCTTTTATGTAAAGCACTGTTGGTAACACTTGGGGTTATTTTAGTAGTGCTATATAAAAAATAAAAAAATACCAAACCATATATACATTCTGTGCATAAGGATTGAGGATTAAATACTAACAAACTAACATCTAATAACTAAACCAAGTTGTATTTATTTTAAACAAAGACAGCACAAACACCTTTTACAGCTACGTTTGTTACGTCCTAAACAAAAACAAATATGTTGTTCAAAAATTAGACAAAAGAATTTGGACACATTTTGGTGAAGTTAGTTCTGAGCTTCATTTCTTTGCAGATGCCACTTGAATGAAATGCAATTAAATTTCATTGAATTCCATTGTAAGTCTCCAAACCATTTTTTGAGGCATTATTTATCTCTTTAAATACTGGATAGATGTATCGGTAAAGATTATGCTAGAATCTAGCTAAATGTATCACCTGTAATCAAGTGAGCAGCTCCACAGATGCAGGTGGAGGGTGGACACAGATGATGGGGGTGTGTAGCCAAGCACCGGCTCATTTGACACATTTAAAAAGTCGACTATCTACAGGGGAAAGACAAACCGTAATGTTTAGCACAGATGAATGAACTACAAGTAAGCTATGTTACTAACTGATTCAACAACTCTCATTTATCTTTACACCTTTTTGAGATGTCCACAAGCCCACCTTAAAAGTACATTTTAAAAGGCGCTCTTCTTTCATGTGGTTTGCATGAGGTTTTTATATATATTTTATTACCTGGTCATACCAGCCCAGACTTGAAGGCACCACTCTGTGCTCCAGCGTAACTCCCCTCATGCCAATGGCTGTGAGAAACTCCTGAAAGTACAGGAAGATGTGCAGCAGATCCAGTTACAAGTTTAATAACACAAACAGGTTTTTTTTTATCGATGTTTCTTAAAAAAAACAGTAAAACGTTAATATTATGAAACATTATACCAATTTATAATAACTCATAACACATAACACATTTAAAAATGTAATTTATTCCAACAATGGCAAATCTATATTATCAGCAGCCATGATTCCAGTCTTCAGTGTCACGTGATCCTTTAGAAATCATTTGTTATTATTAGCATTTTGAAAACAATTGTGCTTATTAATATTTTTTCAGGATTCTTTGATGAATACAAAGTTCAAAAGAACAGCATCAATTGAATGCATCCTAACTAAAAGTATTAATTTTATTATTTTATTTTTATCTTTATTCTTTAGTTAGTTCTTTAGTTTTAAACGTTATATTGTTTTGAACAGCATTTAACTATGGCAATTATTTGGTTTACCTTGACATTGCGCTCTGTGTTGTGGGAGGAAATTTTAACAGCGACAGACAGCATGCTATGGGGCTCCAAACTGAGCCCCTCAGAGGGAGATGTCCTTTCTGGGGCAGATTCAGATGCATACATCACAGGCTCCAGCCAATGAGGACGCGTCCTGCAGGGCAGATTAACATTCCACTCAGGGGCATCTCCATCCACCGTGCCTGAGGAATTAAATATACCATGATGTTATGAAACAAACACCAAAAAAAAAACACTTTTAATTTTAATGATATAAAAAAAATAATATACACTAAAATATATAGATGTATGACCATAGATTTCTGTTTACACAATTAACAATAATATAACCAGGTATCTGCACAAACAATCATATAAAATAACTGAAAAAAATAACAGGCTAAACAACAAAAACAAGTTTTTGTTTACCTTGGTGATAGAGGCAGGCCTGAGACGTGTGGAAGCAGACATAATGCTGGTCTTTGTAGCCTTCATGCTGCGTCACACCAAACAGTGTCCCGTTTTTTACCTCCATCCAAAATTCACCGTGTTTTTTTGGTAACACACTATTATCATCCTGCTGGAAGTATTGTCATTCATTACATAAGACTATGTAAGTTGCTTACACTACTTGGCTAGATAATGACTCGATATTGAAGCACTATCTTTGCAATACTGATGTAATACCTTTAGCTGTGTGTGCAGAGCCAGCAGGCCGTGGTTAACAGACAGGACGATGGAAAAGAGGCTCTGAGAGTTCTTAGGCTGCATCTTACTCCTCTTCTTTCTCCTGTTCCTATAGCCCAGTTCAGCAGGAGTGTAATACTGCAGGATTTCTTCCTCAGAACCACTCTCCTCCTCTTCACACACATAATGTGAAAAAAATCAGAACAAATTACTAACAGACACAGCATGTCAGATGAAATTAACACCTGAAAACATCTTTCAAACAACAAAGTCCTGGCATTATTATCAAAAAGTATGTTCATGCATGTTCATTCTAGGCTGATGTTAAATATTCAAGTGAGCAGAAGGGGAAATGTTCTTTACCCTCAGGGCCAGCAGATCTGAACTGACTGAAGCTGTCTTTACTGTATGTGTTAATGAGTTGACTGGCTACAGACAGACCCACCCCATACGGGATGTTCTCCACCGTCTCTACTGGAGATGGAGCAGTGGGCTCCCATAGCAGCAGGTCATTATTAATCCTGGAAGAAAAGAGCTCATTACTGCATATGTAGATTTCTAAGCTGTGACGGTTTCTTCATGAATTAATTACCTGTTGTGTAGTTTTTCATAAAAGTCTTTATTGGGCAAAGAGAGCTGCACATTGGGGAAAAACAGCTCAAGGATATAGCGGGAGTTGCTAATGGTTTTCTCCTGGAATTCTGTCATTTCCACCACATCTCCTGGGATGACCATCTGCATGAGGCGCAAAGTTATTACCCATAATTAATCACAACTGATAATTAATAAAATGGTCACTCAATTTAGGAGACAATGAAAAACTCTATACCTCCTCATTCTCATACATGACACGCCGTGAGGAAAAAGGGGATGGCTCAGGTTTGCCAAAATCACACACATCCTTCAGGGAGTGGGCAGCTCCTTCTTCTTCCTCCTCTTCCTCTTGTGAGTGACCATCCGCTTCTTCCTCCTCTTCCTCAGCTGTTACACGCTCTAAGATGGAGCGCACAGCCATGGGGTTCACCTTCAGAACCACTCTGAACGGGAGCAGAACATTTTAGTTTCTGTATCTTGATGAATTTTATCAGTAAAGATCTATAGAATGATCATGAACAAAACAGGATACAGAGAGCACAGCATACCTAGGCCAGTCGAATTTGCCACAGTCGGAAGATGTCATGTCCTCCTCCATGGTGTTAGCGACTCGTAAGAACCTGGCTACGGGATGATCTTTGTCTTCTTGGAATGATCCTAGTGTAACAGAAAAGACATTGTATGATTAACGGTGTGTTAAAATACAAATGCATAAAAGCCTAAAGCTTTGCTTAGAAATAAAATTTAAAAATTGGTTCTGTATTTCGTATCTGCTATATATAATAACGTAATTGTAATATTTGTATATTATCTCTTATTAATGTTTTTTAAAAATTATATTTGAATTGCTATTGTTATCCTGTCTTGCTTTTTTTGCATACTGAATTAGCTTTTTCTTTTTGGCATGAATAATCTATTGCTGCCATTGCTGCCTTATACTGTAAAGATAGTCATGCTTGTGTCGATTCTTCTGCACAGACCACAAAAAAACAAGAAAACTATCAGAAACCTTCAGGAATTCAAATCTAATTTGCATTAAATATGCTTTACTCTTTTTAGAAAAGAAGTAGTAAAACAAAGTGCATAAAAGTTTCTCTGCATCCTGTATATGGGGAACGATTGCAGAGGAACATTCAAAACTCAAACTCAATTTAAAAGTCAGTAAAACAGCCAGTTTCCTTGTCTCTTAAACTGAAAATGCAAAGATGCAAGATTATTTTTATGCCTTGATCAGGATGACTCCGTCTGTAAATGAGTACCATTGAGCTCCTTGAAAGTGAGCTCCATCTTAGTCTGCTCTGATGAGTTTCCTCCAGTGAACTCTGTCTTGAGCTCCAGATCTTCCAGCTCCAGCTGCAGCAGCTCTTTCTGCAGGGACTTCTTAAACCAGGGGCCCCTCTCCTGATCCGAGCGCAGGTCTGGGATTGGAAACCGCACCACTAGCACCAGTAGAGGTGCATTTATTGACACAGACACGTGGCAGTGTGCTGGGGTACGACTATCATCCAGGAAGACCTCTGCGAAGGCCTTGTGCTTGTGAGGAAAACACACAACCACAATAAGATGCAAAGTGACATAAAAATAAATGAAAATAAATTAAGTACAGAGAGATAGTCGCTAATGTTTCTCACCAGACTGACATGTTTATTGTAGGAGGTGTACATGTGAGATGCCATCATCTCCGTGGTAACCAGTTTCTGAGGCTGAAGTAAGGAGTTGAGCCTGTCCACAATGCTGACATCACACTCCGAGCGCACTTTACCCAGCTCCACTTGCAATTCTGCCCTACGAGGTATAGTACTCAGACGTACCTGCCCGCCCTGATGAAAAAGTAAGTGTTGGATCATGCTTACTGTCTGCAAGTAGCTAAATTTGTGATTCATTTGAAGTATAAATAAAGGTTATAAAAATCAAATGATTAATGTTACTAGTAAAACATCATATAGATGGTCCAGACAAGGACATAATCATTAGGTCATTTACTTTATTATGAAGAAGTACTCTCATCAGCACCATGCAAGATGTTGAAATACTTCAGGAAGTTACCTGCGGGCCTCTGCGTTCTGTTAGTTTGTAGAGTAAATGTAGGCATATAGGAGGAGGAGAATCACTACTGGCTGAGACATCGAATGTAAGAAGCTAATGTTTCACACAAGAAACAAATATCATCATTATTATGTAAGAGAACTATTCTGTGCACATATAATGTTTGTCAACAGAAAAAAAAAAAAACACCTCGGTGTACTGGATTCCACTCTGTGTAGTGTGGCTGTCAGTAGAGTACAGGCATTCCAAAAGCTCCACCTGGCTCAGAGAGAGATCCGTGTTTAATGTACGTACACTGGAGCCTTGACAGTGCTCGTATGTCACCTTTAATCCCTGACCAATGAACCTGAAGATAAAGAAAAATGCATTTTACATTACCTTAAAATACAACAAAAAAACCCCACTCAAATAAGCATAGGTTAAAGGGTTAGTTCACCCAAGAATGAAAATTAGGCTGTGTTTTACTCACCCCAGAGGCATCCTAGGTTCGGCGCATGCGCAGCGCTGACCTCACACATCATCCGCCCGGAACTGCTTCCGTTTACAACAGTGAGCGCAAGCTAGATTAAAGTGATTGTTACGTTTTGAATATGGATATTTTTCTTACAAAAACGCATCGATTCGCTACAGGAGGCCTTTGTTCACCCCCCGGAGCCGTGTGAGACACTTTTTTTATGGATGGGCGCTTTTTATTTCACTTCTTTGGGACTGAAGCACTGCAACACCCGCTGACTGCAATGATAGAGCTTGGAATAGTCAGGACAATTTTTAATATAACTCCAACTGGATTCGTCTGAAAGAAGAAAGTCATATACACCTAGGATGCCTCGGGGGTGAGTAAAACACAGCCTAATTTTCATTTTTGGGTGAACTAACCCTTTAAGTATGGAGTTCCACAAGGCTCTGTCTTAGGTCCTTTTTTGTTCTCTTTGTACATGCTCACCTTAGGATATGTGACTTTATCTTTTGCTTTCATTGTTATTCTGCTAAACCACAGTTTTAAATTTCCTAAAGACTGGTTAAAAGATTCCGTTTTCCCGGTCAATGGAACAAAGTTATTGCTGTCCCACCTGTCTCATCTCTGACATCCAATGTCAGCCATTCAACTAAAGGATGTTTCCCTGACCAATGTCCTGAAATTGTCTCAGAATGCACTCCAGACTTAAAATGTAATTATCGATATTTGAAAGAAGGCTGATAACAAAATATTAAACCACCATTTCTATAATATTCTGTATTTAATTTTAAGTGAAAGCTTACCTGAGATGATCATGTGGACAGGCTTCATCAAAGACAGTTCGTGATTGCAGAAAACTCCCAGGAGGGAGTTGATTTACAGACAGAATACGGAAAAACTCTGAAGCCATTGGTGCAAGATGGCTGCGGGAGGAGTCTGGAGGTGGAAGGGGGTCAATATGGAGGACAGACAAGCAGAGACTGCCCACTGTGAGCCTGAGAACCAGCTCAGGCCTGGACTCATCACAGTGGCCTTTAGATGGATGAGCTAGAGAGCACACATAGGGTAGAGTTCTTATTGATTAAATATAGTCATAAGGGTCAACAATTACCATAAATCATAATGCTGATAACGGGACATACATGTCTGCCGGAGCAACTTGTGGGTAAGCTGAGAATCTCTGGAAAGATGTGGCATCTCATTTGTCTGCTTCTCCTTCTGTCTAGGAACATCCATGAACTCGTCCCATACCATCTAAGGAATGTGTCAAAAAATGTTTTGCACTTGTAATATCATAATGAGCCAATGAATGGTGACATAATCAATCATTAAACACTAATTATGAAACACGGAGTTCAATGTTAAAGTGAGAAGTGGTGACCTACGGCTACATTTCCAGATGGCGACTCCCCCAGGGAGGCGGAGTAGTTGCTATTTACAGACAAATCTAGATCCACAGTGGGTGGATCCCCAAGAGGAGGCAAAGATGACAGGCTGTGTGACATGTCCATATCAGCCATGGAGAAAAAGACATCCTCTGTCCAAACAAGAAACAGATTAAATATGTATTTAGAGATGCAAAAACAGAATGTAGAATTAAAAGATTTGCTGTGCTAAACTAACCTCTACTGGACACCGTTCTGGTGGTCTGGCTTTCAAACAGGTCCTGGTCAGTGGTACCTGTAATGGTGTCTTTCTTCAGGCAGCGGTTGAGTTCCATGTGGAGACGATACTCATCCTCCTGCTGCATGGGCCGACTCTTTCTATCCTTTCCTATAGCAGACCACTCCTGTACGGCTGTATATAAGCAATATAAAAGAAGCAGCCGTCAGATTCATTGGAAACAATTTATCGCCGATTTTATTTAATGAGGAAACCATATGGGAAAATCATATATGAATAGAACAAAATGTCACCTGAGCTAGAGAAAACCCCAAACATGTCCAGTAGGAGGTGGACTTGTTGTGGTGAAAGCAGCATGATTAGAGAATCAAACTGCCCATCAATATCCAACTGTGAAAAGACCAGTCATTAAAATTTATCATTAAAAAAATATAAATCATGCCTTTTGTTTTGACTAATCCATTCAGAAATACAGTTGTTCCAAAATGTAATTGGACAATTAAAAGACAAATTCAGATTTTCAAACAGCTTTGCATTGTTACAATGTAGATAATATATGTAAACAAATAATGTGTACTCTTTCTGCACCCAGATATCCCAGTTTATTTGTCAGAAAAAAATCAGACAGATTAAGCAAAATGCATAATTTTGCGTTATCCGGTGGTCTTTTGACAGCCCTGGGCTTTTGTTAAATTACAGATTGAACTTCCGCATTTGTTTCCACCTTTTGTCGGATTGACAGGAGTGCGTGCCAAAATCAAAAGTGCATTATGAGTGCTGAAGATTTTGGAAAAAGGGAAAGCTACAGCTCTTTTTTTTTTTGGTTTCTCTAGTTGTGTAGCACCAATTTCATTTTTTTCAGTTTCTACTGCATAGACAGCCAAGTTTTATTAAAAGCCCATCTTGTTAGTGGTTCCCCTTTAAGACACAGCTAAAAATGTATTAATGTCAAAGCATTAGATAATAAATTATCACACAAATTGAAATTCAATTTAAAGAAATACACAAAAAGTGTGCTATGCTCTAATTCATAAAACAATATAAATATTGTTAAAAATGAAGACAAAAAGCATTTAAATACTTTCTGGTTGTCAAACATAGTGGAACACATTCACTCAAGGAATTATCATCTCAAAAAAGGAAGCTAGGCTAACCTGTGCAATACTTTTATAGAAAAATAATTAAAATAACTGTATATTTGTAACTGTGTGGTATATGTACCCACCTTAGCTCCGGGCATGGCTTCGTTTTGCTTCAGAACCACGGACAGCTCCAGTTTACCACAAAGGCAGCCCATCTGCACTGGCTCAAATGGTGTACTAGAAGACACAGGTTCTGGGAACTGAGGGTGAGGCTCACAGATGATTTTTGGGTTCCAACTCGGCGAAAGCTTCGGTTCAGTTTCCTTTAATGTATAAAGAACATATGTCTTCGCAGGCTTTGGAATTGTACTGCTAAACAGCAACAAAAAATGTTTTTTCACTTGAAGTTATTGTACTGCTATAGGGTCAAGTTAGGCTGAGGTTGCACAACTATTCTTGTGCAAGATGATTTTTGATTGCAGCAGAATAGATACTCACTGTTTGAGTGGGGGATGATTTGAAGCCGGCACGTGCTGATTCTGAAAACTCATCCCAGAACACATAGGCACCTTCCAGAGTGAGGTTTTTATGTGCAAATGTAGTAGGCTGATGGATATTGACACTGGAGCCCTCCTCCACACTCTCATCACAGTAAACCATCCTAAATATCACAAAACGTACAGACAGTGTGGTGATGATTCAAAAGAAAACATATCATGTTGTAGTGTCGAAAACATTTAGTTAAAGGGGTCATATGATGCGATTTCAAGTTTTCCTTTCTCTTTGGAGTGTTACAAGCTGATTGTGCATAGATAAGATCCCTGAAGTTGCAAAGACTAAAGTCTCAAAACCAAAGAGATATTCTTTATCAAAGTTAAGACTCTGCCACAGCTGCATACTGCTGGTCATGAAGCTGGACCAGCACATGGGCTCCATGCCTGATGCTTAAAAAAGATTTACAATGGGCATAAACAACATTAAAGTCGACATAAAATGCAAATTCGCCCTATGTATTTTCTAAACGAATCTTAATGATATTATAGTTAACAATTAATTTGTACATCTTTCTTTTTTTTATATTTGACTTTGCACGTTTTAATTGAAATGTCATAATCAGATCTCCCCTTTCTTCCAAACACCTGCAAACTCACATTCAGATCTCCCTCGATCTAATCATCAAATGATGGACAGAACCAAGTCCCCGCCAAACATTTTTTTCTTTTTCAATATTCTGTTTGACTCTGATGTACATCACAAATAGAAAATAAATGATCTGTCGCTTCTTTGTTACATTTCAACTTTAAATTAAAGATGGACAGAGAAAATATAGAATAGCATTATAAAAGAATATTATTAGATAGAAAAATATATCATTAAACAGTGTGCAATATAAACAATCAAATACAAATATTTTAGGAAACATTGTAAATGAGAATAAACAGAATTTTTGAATGCTTAGCATTGCAATCAAAACATCTGTCAAATTCATGAGGTAATCTGAAAATAATTAAATTTCAAAGATGCTTCCTACCCATTCGAGGTCTTGGCCTGAACACCATCTTCAAGCCCCTCACTTCCAGTGCACAGTTGTCCTGGAGCAGCGAGGCCCATGGCACAGTGAGAGAAATGGCCTGGATGAAGCCCTCACTCACCTCAAATGGAGCATCTACAGACTCCAGGGTCTCATTCAGGGACTGAAGATGAATTACATTTTAAAGTAAAAGAAGGAAAACTGTGGATGACCATCTTTTTTTGATGATTGCTTGGGGATAAGCTGAAAATACTATTAAAGGGGTCATATGATGCTGCTAAAAAGAACATTATTTTGTGTATTTGGTGTAATGAAATGTGTTTATGCGGTTTAAAGTTCAAAAAACACATTATTTTCCACATACTGTACATTATTGTTTCTCCTCTATGCCCCGCCTTTTTGAAACGCGTCGATTTTTACAAAAC